TTCTCACAGACAGAGAGAGTTTTGTTTTGGCGCGTTTCAGAAACAGGTGCCAAAACCTCTATATTTACGTCTGAGAGGATTCTAAAAACATGACAGTTCGTTCCAACAACTTGTTTTGCGTTTGACTCCAACCTTGGACCAACTTACACTTGCTCATTCAAAGACAGAAAATCAGAAAATGCATAATTACTCTGTAACAGCTTTAACATGAGTTCTAACTTTGCATGAGAATAAAAAATCATTACACAGTTAATAAAATTGATTAGTTCACTGCAACATCTAAAATGGTTTGAACTAAGACACTTTGATTATCAACATTTGTAAAATAGTAATGATAATAAAAAAGAGAGTGTTCTTTTCACTTGAATCTTCAAGAAAGAAAGTCTCAGGATGGGTGAACCTGTATTTCTGGATTCAAATCAATAAAATGACAGTTTCTGTCCCACAAGGTTCTTAAGGTCAAGGATTTTGACCTTAGGCTTAGTCGTGACACCAGATTAAGTTCACTACATTATTCTTACAATTGTTACGCACCATGAGCTGACTTGAAGTCAAGTAACATATTTGATGAAAAACGGCTTAGGGTTGATTTTAGGCCCAAGTAGCGAAGCGCTGCGAAGGCCTATTGTAATTGCTCTATTCAACAACCAGCAATTTGTCCGTCAAATGAATTGGCCTGTTGAGGGCCTTAAAATATCCCAAAACTCACCAAATTTGGTGGAGACATCAGGACTGCTGAAAAATTACATATTTTAAGAGCGTTGCAAAAATCGCAACAGAAACGGCTCAAGTGTGCCACCTGTAAATTTTCAAAATACCCTCTGCATTAACCTTAAGCCTCCTACTGCCGTGTACGTCCATACGCAGAGGTACGCACATACTTACGCAGAGGTACGAGCGTACCCCCCATGGCATGTCCGTGCATACGCGTATGCGGTGTCGCACAATAAACTGCCCAGCGACGGACTGTTTTGTATGCGACACCAATGTATTAAATTCCCCTTCTTCATCCCTGATCTGGCCTTTTCTTTTGTTTGTTTGCCAAGAGGCAGTGATCTCTTCCTCCTCCATTGATGCCATGACTGAAATGGTGACAAATGAAGGAATTTGTCACGAGCGAATTAAAGGTCCAGCATGGCTGTGGGAGGATCTGGAGATTTCCTGGTGGGCTGGTCTGATGTGTGGGCTGTAGAGCCAGCGCTCCCTGTTTGTCGTTTTTTTTTTAGATCTTTTTATTAACAACATATAAACACAGGACACCACAGCGGCTGAGGCTGCCAGCGCTCGCTTTTTTTTTCTTTTTTTCCGACCTGTCAATCAATCCAGTAGGCGTGTCAGCAAATGACCAATTGGCGACCTCAATTTGTCCCGAAGGTAAACGCCCCTTGTCTGTGAAGCTGCTCTGCAGCTGCTCGGGGTGTACGCTGGAGTACAAAGTCTGAACCCTCTGCGTACAGTACACGTGTACGTAAGCGTGAACGGACGTACGCGGCAGTATACTGGTGGCTTTAGTTTGTCGTAGAAGCATGACATTTGGTACACTTGTCCAATTCTCCAAGAAGCACAGAAAACCCTCTGGCACCAACATTATATGATAAACAGGAAGGCGGCCACTTTGGAATGCCGTCTCAAATTTCACACCTTGTTGGCAGTTTACAGCCTCCGCATTTGAACGAACTCCTCCTAGGGATTTCGCTCAATCAGTTTCAAACTTGGCCATTTTGTTCAAAAGGCATGGGGGACGCAAAATTATCTAAACGGTTCGTTGCGGAGCATGATGAAGGGGCGGGGCCAGACCTCAAAGTTTGACATCTCGCCATGAAAAACGAAACGCTAATAGCTCCTATACACGAAAACTGTCTGATACATCAAACCTTCAGTTTGATCCACATCCGGTCCCCTGCAAGACTGAATGGTTGAATCATGACATCAATTAAGCCACGCCCCCTGACAACAGGAAGTGTAAAGTTTTAAGTTGAACGGTCCCTATCTGAACCCTGTGATCTAATCAGCATGACAGTGTGTCCAGTGACCGAAGACATGTTGGTGTAACTTGCTTTCCAACACTGACAGTTTTGGGTGGAGCATGTGGGCGGCGCGACGTGGCGAAGTAAGATGTAACGCCGTAGCCATACGTTTGCCTCTAAATTCCACAGCTTTGAGCCGAGGTGCACCAAAATCACTATGATCAATCATCCACCCCTTGAACAGGAATCCACGATAAGTGGCCAATAGCCTCCACAGCGCCCCCTAGAATATTTTAAAACCTCAGCCCCAAGCCAATTTATGACCGATAATTATGAAACTCGTGACAGGAGCTTAACAAAACAGAAAATTGAAAGAAATTTAGCTCTTTGTTTTTTCTTCTTTTTTGCTAGCACCTTGTGGAGGGTTGAATGTGACACAATTAAATACATACATAACATTCAAATGCATCATTTAATTATTCAATACATCATTAAATCACTAAATATACAATTAAATTATTAAATATACACTTAATTAATTGTATATTTAATGATTTAATGATGTAGTAAATAATTAAATGACTTTAACAACATTTTCATCTCTTTATTTTACGATGCATTTATTTATTTAGTCACATTACACCCTCTAACACACCTTTAAAAGTTTTCTGATGGAAAAAACTAGTAAAAATCTCCTTCAAGGTGTAGCAAAATGACAAATTAAGTATTTTAAAAGCTGTTCTTATAATGTCTAAACAACATAAACTATTTTTCTTTTTAAACTGATACTTGAAAAAGCACAAACGAGTTAGCTAGCTGTAGCAAACAGGTTTGGATCTATGTTTCTTTTTTTTTTGACAATAATGAGGACCTTCTTAAGAAAAAACTTAAAAATGTCTTAAGAAGCGTTATCAGCACGTTGATCATTGAGGTTTTTTGTATAACGAATCAACCAAGGAAATCTGCAAGACCACATAAAATCTAATCCAAGCGGGACTTCTTATAAAAAACAAAACAACAGGTGCTTCAAAGAAACTTCAGTTGTAGACAGGAGCTAGCTTGTTTCCTCGGCTAGCAGCAGCTGCAGCTAACGGTGTTGAGTTTCAACCTGGTGGGTGAAAAAGTCAGCTAGCAGTTGAACAAATGCTCCTCTACAAAGAAAAGTCCTCCGGCTCACTGACTCGGAACAAGCCTCAGACCTCATTAGACCCAGCAGCTGGGCTCGTCGCACTACTGACACATGGACGGCCATATTTTAATCGCTGCGAGAATCCTGCAACAAAATGTTAATCCGAGCTGTTATAATGCATATATAAATGCTTGTGTGGATTACGTTTAACCTCAGTCGCTGACTTCAAACTATTCAACTTTCACTAAAACATGACCAGAGGCAGCGGTAAATTATGTTAATCTGCTTGATAGAAAATTGATTTTAGGATGTAGGGCAGATGTGATGTGTGCCATAACAGCTGCAGCATCCATGAAGTTGGCCTAAATGTCACACTACTTAATTATTATTGGTTATTTGTTAATATATGTGTGTAGTTACATTTATTTTAAATTTTACATCTGATCTGGGTGTGTACATAAATAAAATTACAAAAAGCAACATAATAAAAATATGAAGATGAACACTGACTAAATCCAAAGGCCACTTTTTATTATAGTTTTTTATTCAGTGTGGATAGACTTAATATCGTCATTTGGACAGAGCTAGAAATACATTTAAAGTGATAAAACAGAAATTAAAGATTGTTCTCTTCAGCTACACGTCAAACAACACTCCCTGTAACGTCCAACACTACACACAGGATGACTTTGCTTTGGACAAACGACTGCATCTCATCAGTTTGTTCAGCCTAAAACAAAATGTTCATTCGTTTTCGTACACTGAAGTAAACATGAATACTTCAAAAAAAAAAATACTGTGACACAATACCTTTATATATCAACTCTAGCAGAACTAAAGTTTAAACAGGCCTCACACAAACACTTGTGTTGGTTTCACATCTTTTTCCTTCGGAGCAGCGTTTACATTCTGTACATCAACAATACGTCACTCTTCAATCCAGTGTCATGGGAGTGTTTCAAAAGATTAAAATTCTTAAACGTCTTGCATCTTGGATCTCTTCTCACAGTGTTTCAGACCTTCATGATTATCTATTTCTTGTATAAAATATACAGGTATTTGTTACTGCATGCCTCCATACTTGCCACTTCTCTTTTGCTAACAACGAGGACGGATGCTTTCCCTCCTGCTTTGCTCTTTGTCTTGTGATTCCTATCGGAGACTCTCACCACATATCCTCCGAACTGTAAATTATGGAACTGGTCAGCTAGTTGCTCAACACAATTGATAAAATTTTCTCGACGAGAAGACAGGGCGATAGAGAGCCCTCATGCCCTGGAAGGACACTCGCAGCTGGATATACTATGGATTCCTGGGGACAGTGGAAGATGGTGTGTCTGTCTGTATTGTCCGTTCAGAATGTAGAAGATGCGTACATAATTGGATTTATGATAACAGGACTTCTGCTTTTTGGAGTCGGCAGTTACCTGGTTTATCAACAAATGAGGAAAATATCGGCAGCCGTTCTGGCCATTGTAAGACAGCGTGTCTTGTGTGAGAGAATGTACCGAGCGGTAAGCTCTCAGACTCAGATGCTGCATGAGCTGAGCCGTAAGCTGGACGCGATTTCTGAGTATCGCAGGCCAATTGCGGCTCTTGGGACTCACTGGCGGGAAGGAATCGACCTTGGAGAAGGCTACAAGCTCAGTCCGGCGGTGTGACTACAAAATTTGGTTGTTTGGAATCACCATGAGACGTACCAGCAGAACTATGAAGGTAGACATGGAAATCAAGCAGAGTCTGCCTGACCCAAAGTAATTGTGTTATCTGAATTGCCTTCCCCACTTGGCCTTGATTTGGCCAGCCATCTCAAACCTCTCCTGGTTGTTTATGTGAACAAGAAGCTCCCCCCCCCCCCCCCCCCAAATCGCTCCCCTCCCGAGGACACATGTGGATCTGTGTCAGAGTTGAGCCAGCTGACAGACACTGTGCCATCTTCTCAGGACTATGGAACTTTCTGGCAGTCCACGGACGACTCACTGCCCTTGTCGGTCTCCTCATGCATAAATGTATTATGATGTCATTATGTCAACTCTTTATGTGCGAGGTCTTTTTTCAACTCTCACACTGTGCCCTGGCCAGGACATACATAGTGCGAGATACTTTTTTTTTTACCTCCCCTCCCCACTCTTGTTTTCTCTTTTCATTACTTTTTTCTGTTTGTCCGTCTAAAACAGGTCTCACTTGTAAATGAGTGTCCGAGGCTCAATGTGATTAATCTGTATAAATAAAGGTTGAATGAATACTGCTGTGGTGTCTTCTTTTAATTTTCAGTCTTTGCGGGACATTTGGTGCAAATGCAGGAAGCATATTTACTACAGAGTGTCTCTGAGTTTTTGTGTTTAGGATAGCACGGTAAGCGTCACGGTTCCTTTGGTCCTTTTCAGGATGCCGACGGCTTCTTCATGAGTGACGCTTTCTAGAGTCTGACCATTAACGGCGATGATCTGGTCTCCACGTTTCAGACGCCCGTCCTCTGCCGCCGCCCCCTGGAACCACACACACGGGTACGAACAGGTTTGATCAAAAACACTTGAGCCAAAGTTTCACTGGTCGACGACAGCTGGTGACAAACTGGGAACAATGTACAGGAAGGAGTTTTAATTTCCCTGCATGGACCTTATTCACGTGTCGCAGCAATGTTTGGCAACATCGGTTTAAATTTTGACCAAAATTCACTGGGAGTCGGTGCAAATGTGTTCAGTGTGGTTCCGATTAAAAATTGAGCATTTTCTCACAGTTTTGTGTCTCCACATTGTCCCCAACACGCACGACCAAAACTGTTGGGAAGTGAGCTACAAAAAGAAATTGTGACGTCTTGCCACACTTACCTTTCCGAAAACGGTTTTGACGTAAATCGGCAGGTCTCCATGGGGGCTGCCGTGCCCTCCGACGATACTGAAGCCGAGTCCGTCGGGTCCTCTGTCAAGAGTGATGGTCTTGTACTGAGGTGGGCTTAAGGAAAAACAGGGCAGTCAGAAACACATTCAGAAATAGACAGTCCTGCACCTCAATCCCTACTAACTCAGACCTACTGGGAATAATGTTACATTACTTCCTGGTTGCTTAGCCTAGTCTTATGGTCACCAGGTGAGATCCACCCTGAACAAGTAGCTACAGAAAATCTATTCATTCCAAACTGAATACCTTCGCTCGGTTTTAGTGTACTTGAATTTTGTTTATATGGCTGTGGAAGAACTCTAGCACCCTGGTTCACAAACTTTCTTCTTTCAACCCACAAAAAGTACAGTTGCAGAGACCCGTGACCCTGACTGTCGCTGAAGTGTATATATACCTCAATAATTGGCCATTTGCTAAAGGACCTTGTTAAAACAGTATATACATGTTGAATTTCTTTGTAACAGTTAAGGCTAGATAAACCAAACTCCAGCATATGTAGTGTGTTCTCCTTCAACTCCAGGGTGTCAGAAACTTAATACTCATTAATTAAAAATACAATAAAGGAGGCAACTTTGAAATGTGTCCCACTGAACGTTAGGTAGAAGTGACCCAACTGTAACTCCATAATCTCAGGCTGCTCCATGTCATCACAGGCCACAGTACTGTGAGGTACTTACGGTGAACAACTGGCAATAACATTGAACCAAGCCACATCTGTGACAACTAATATGACTAATATTAGCTTGTGACAGCTAATATGTTTATTGTTTATTGCTGCTGCACTATGTGGCTGTATCATGTATGATACAGTATCTATGTATCTAACTTACCATCACAATTCATCTCAATGTCACTCACTGTGCAATAACCTATCACACAACCTGTGTAGTAGTATTGTTCAATATATATCATGTGCATTTTAGCTTATATTACTACCTTGAAATACTTATTCATTCAAATTCATCCTGCTTATATTCTACCATGTTGTTGTTTACCACCTCTCTTTAGGACGTTGTAAATATTATAATTACTTTTTCACTTTTTGGTACTTTATTTTGTACCCTTATTGAATGTTTTATTATTTCTTGTTTGTTTGTTCTTTGTTTTTGTTTTTTTTAGCGTGTCAAATCGCTTCTTCTCATCCTAAGCATTTCATTGTACTGTTAACTTTGTGTTATGCTTGCACATGACAAATAAACACAACTTGAACTTGAACATCTCCTAGTGAAGAAGACAAAATCCAGTAAATGTGAATGTTTTCACGATGTAGCAGCAACGTTACTATAAAATGTGCAGGAAAAGTACAAAAAACAGTAAAAACCATGTAAGAGTGTAGCTACACAGAGTCAGAGTCAGAGTCAGAGTTTCTTTATTGTCATTCGCACCTCATGTGGTACATGTGGTGGAGCGAAATTATGTACACAGGGTCCCAGTTACATTCAACAATAAAATGTCTAAGAAAAACAGTAATAACATCTAAGATATGAACTAAGAAAAACATCAACTAAATATACACTAAGCACTCATAACATAAAACATTGAACATCAGCACAAACATGAACATGAGTCTGTGAGCAGATGTGCACGCATGAACACATCAACATTGAAACAGATCAGCAGCAACATGAAACAGATCAGCAGCAACATGATATGATTTTTCACAGTGATTATTCTGGTTAGAGATTCATGAGTCTAACAGCCTCAGGGTAGAAGCTGTTCCTCAGTCTAGTGGTTCTACACTTAATGCTCCTTAACCTCCTTCCTGAGGGGAGTGGGGCAAAAAGTGTGTGTGCTGGGTGGGTGGGGTCCTTCATGATGCAGGTGGCCCTCTTCCTGCATCTGGAGGTGTAGATGTCTGTGATGGTGGGGAGACTGACTCCAACAGATTTCTGTGCAGCCTTCACCACTCTCTGCAAAGCTTTTCTTTCTGCAGCTGTGCAGCCTCCATGCCACACGTTGATGCTCGAGCACAGGATGCTCTCCACTGCACACCTGTAGAAGGAGGTGAGGACTGAGCTTCCCAGACCAGCTCGCCTCAGCCGTCTGAGGAAGTAGAGTCTCTGATGAGCTTTCTTGATCAGGCTGGTGGTGTTGTTGCTCCAGCTGAGGTTGTCATTCATGTGTACACCCAAGTACTTGTAGCTGGAGACCACTTCCACCACAGATCCTCTTATGTTCAGGGGGGTGTAGGTGTTTTTGTTCCTTCTGAAGTCCACAATCATCTCCTTTGTCTTCTTCACATTGATGTGAAGGTTATTCTCTCTGCACCAGCTCTCCAGGTGTTCCACCTCTTGCCTGTAGCTGGACTCAACATTGTTTGTGATGCATCCCACCACCGCTGTATCATCTGCAAACTTTACAATGTGACAGCCTGGATGGGTAGCTGCACAATCATACGTGAGCAGAGTAAACAGGAGGGGGCTCAACACACATCCCTGAGGAGAGCCAGTGCTGAGGGTTATGGTGGAGGAGGAGAGGTTGTGGATCCTCACTAACTGTGGTCTGTTTGTTAAAAAGTCTAGTACCCAGTTGCAGATGGAGGGGCTTAGTCCTAGTCCTACACGGCTCCAACATGGATTTTAGTTCTCAGTGGTTTAAACAGCGTTGTTGAAAGTTCCTTCAGAAACCAAATTAAACATCTTTGTCGTTTATGTGAGAGCACAGGACACGTTAGATAAATATTCTCCTGTAATAGCAGCTTCTTACCCCATGTCATCCTGGAAGATGCAGCTGGGCGTCAGACCCCCGCCCTCCTGCGTTTCAGGGGGACCCGTCACGGTGGTGTCGCCACCTGCTACCACCTGCAGGTGTGTTCACACATAACACAAACAAACCCACGTTGTTACGTTGTGGACTCGTTTTATGGAACAGTTTGTTTCTGTTCCTCTTCCACGGACACAAAATAAAGAGTCGACAGCAGCACATTATCTCGCTGTTTGTTAAAACATCTGCATGTCTGCATGGGTGTGTGTTCTGGGAGACCTGCAGCTGTATTGTGCCCGTGGCGCTCTTGAGCAGACTGACAGCCTGCGAGTGACTCATGCCTTCGGCCGATGTGCCGCAAATGTTGACGATTCGGTCGCCAATCTGGACAAAAAGAAGTGACACGACGTGAAGGAAAAAGCTCTGCTGAGTCACAATGAAAAGTCTTCAAGACGAGATTGACTGAAGCTGCTTGAGTTTGTTTGCCTAAAGGGAGGTTTCAGATCTTCTGATGTGTGGTTCTGTGGAAAAGTTCTGAGCAATAACTATCTTACCTGTTGCAGATAGCTCTTGACCAGACTCAAACAAGGTCAGGATAAATATTTTTAAATGTTTTTGTGTTGAAAACGTTCACAGTGCTTTAAATTTTGCGTCAAACCTTTGTTTACACGAAGGATGCAAAATAGTAATAATAATATTTAGTGTTGCTTTAGCATTTAGTTTTAGCATTTTAACTACATTGTTCTGAATGAGCTGTGGATATTCAGGATAGTGGGCCTCAGATTATTTTATCGACATATCTGGTTTAGATCTGATTTATTGCAATACTTTGCAAATCTGATATTTTATTAAATATAAAATTATAATATATTGGGCAGCCTTCATTTTCATAAAATATTGTAATTATTTTCAAGAGCTATTAGCATTAGCAGTAGCTAGTTGTAGCACTCGCAGCAGGAACAATATATGTTTTTCTTATGTAACCTTGAAATGCAAAACTGAGGGCGATGTAAAAGTTTTTAAAACAGCTTTTGCGAAGAACATTTAACATTTCAGACAAGACAGTAAATTTGTTTTACGATGGCAGCCATTCACTTTGGACTTTTGCACTATTGCAAAAAAGTCTCTTTGGGCAAACAAACTCAAAAGCATATATCTTAGATCTTTTAGCGTACAGTTTGGCGTTTGTTTAGCGTACGGTATATACCTTAGATCCTTGTATACGGTTTCTTTTTATACTCTATATTTGTGCTATTTTGGGGTGTAACTGGGACCCTGTGTACACACTTTAGTTGCGCCTCATCTACTGCATGTGATGCGAATGACAATAAAAAACATTGAACTTGGACTGATCAGGCTAGGTGTTGGCTCATTAACCCAGTCAGAAATAAACAATTTCTTCAAACTGAGGTCGTTAGTTTTTCCTTTCCACAGAATCCCACTTTTAAAGATGTGAACTATCCCTTTTAACTAGATTTATTCTCATTGTTCCAGCACAGAGAGGAGGGCTGTTGTGTGATTTTTGCAACAATGGCTAAGGCTGTTTTCTCAAATTTATACCGTCACACAAAAGTCAAACTAAGTTGAATAGTTTCATTATGCAGAGCTCCTATTTCTCCCTTTGGCTGAAAATGTAAAACAAAGTTTCTGCATTTTCTCTTCAATGGGCCTCTCTGTAGACTTAACAATCTGAAGGCAAGAGTGGGAGATTTATTATCCATGTTAGCTGGGTCCATTGTCCTCCCGTCTCCATCAAACATTGTTGCAATAGCGTTGATCAGGGATGACGTCACGAGAATTGTGGGAAATCCCCAAAGTCCTGGATGTCAGGCAAACAATGTAACAGACAGCATGCATGATGGCTACCGCCAATACTTTTGTCCATGTAAATGGAAACAAAGACGACGTTCACGGGACCAAAATCCACTTGGATTGTCCTGATGGATACAATAATACACAGCTCAAGCGCTGTCTACAAAGCAGGGGGATAGCAGTGTCTAGCCAAATTGATGAAAAGGTACATGTGGCGTTCCCGGTGTATCTGTGCGGTAAAAGAGAGCACGAATGAGAAGATTTTGTGTAGGATGCATGCCACTGATGCACCATGAATTGCACAGGTTTTTGGTGGCAGGACAAAGAATGATTTTGCCTTCTTTTATTTTACTTTGTTAGCCAGTGTTAGCCGGTGTTAGCCAGTGTTAGTCAGTGTTAGCCAGTGTTAGTCAGTGTTAGCCAGTGTTAGCTGGTGTTAGCCAGTGTTAGTCAGTGTTAGCCAGTGTTAGCCGGTGTTAGTCAGTGTTAGCCGGTGTTAGCCAGTGTTAGTCAGTGTTAGCC